TCGTCATATTTCATCACATGCTACACAAATTATCTGAGGTGTAAGAGACATTGAACCAATGTACATGAAAGTGCATTCTTGTTTTTGATGTAACTTGTGTTTTTGAACAAAAACAGGCAATTCCTATTTGCGCCGAGGCCAGCGTAGTTTTCATTAGGCAGATAGCGTGTTCAATGTGAGATTTTCTGATAATCCGATATGCCGAAAATATCTCAGGTAAATGGTTAAAAAAATATATATATATAACCCGAAGTGTAGCGGGAGCTGAATAATATGGAAGAAAATTCATCTTGGATGAGAAACAAACAGAAATATCGTTGGGTCTGCAGTGAATAATTAGCCCCAGTGAATGACAACAGTTACTTGTGAGAATTATGTATGAAAACCACCTCCGAAACCATTGTTTTCTTAAACAGAAATACCAAACGCCAAATGTTTGATATTGGTCAGAAATAAACCCACATATTTTTATGAAAGGTCACACTCAAGCTCATGAAAAAATAAATGCCTGGGCTGGTAGATATCTAGAGAAAAAAATGACAGTTGATTTATAGTTGGAAACTTCTGAAAACCTCATTGTGTCCAACAATCAAGACGAATTCGGAAATCAAATTGTTGTCCAATAATAGCATGCCTCAAATTTTTTTTGACTTATAAGGGATTTGTTGGATTAGTCACATCCAGGCATATGTGAATTGTCAGGCCGGTTTGTTGAAGGATGACCCCAGAAACGTCCTAAAATGTTAAAAATGGGTTCGAAAATAGACTGCTTCACTGTCTCACTGTCAGAAGGTTTGAGAAGGATATTCTGAACGTTCACTCGAAATATTTTTTATGTATAAGATGAATAATACCAAGGTTTGAATGAAATGCTATCGTTTCACCCCCTTGAAGGACCTATCCATGTTACTGATCCACTTCTTTTTCCACTGAACATTTATTTGGTGGAGGAGTTACGGAATCCTCAGTTCCAAAGTGAAACATCAATAACTCCGCAACCAGCTATCGACATTTGAGAAAGGTGGAGGCCATTGTACAGAGAATTTGAATATTTTTATATGAAATGTCACAAGACCCCCGTTCCCACTGTAATATCTTGCTCCGTTGGAAAGTTCAATAACTATTCACGTTTGCACTGTATCATTTGTAAGACGTCAGAGATATCTGATGACTACTACTTACTATTCTACTGTATTAATTATAAGACGTCTGAGAACTGAGGACTACTATGTACTATTGTACCATGTTCAATTTACGTTCAGACTGTATTATTTGTGAGAAGTCTGAGATATCTGAGGACTACTACTTACTATTGTACTTTATTATTTGTAAGACGTCTGAGATATCTGAGGACTACCACTTACTATTGTTTTGTATTATTTGTAAAACGTCTGAGATATCTGAGGACCACTATGTACTATTGTATTATGTATCATTTGTAAGATGTCTGAGATATCTGAGGACTACTATGTTCTATTGCACCATGTACTATCGTTCGCACTGTATTATTTGTGAGACGTCTGAGATATCTGAGGACCACTATGCACTATTATACTATGTATCATTTGTAATAGTACTATGTACTATTGTACCATGTATTATCGTTTGCACTGTAAGACGTCTGAGATATCTGAGGGCTACTATGTACTATTATACCATGTAATATTCACGTTGGCACTGTATCATTCATAAGACGTCTGAGATATCTGGGGGCTACTATGTACTATTATACCATGTAATATTCACGTTGGCACTGTATTATTCATAAGACGTCTGAGATATCTGATGACCACTATGTACTATAGTACCATGTAATATTTACGTTCAAACTGTATCATTTGTAAGATGTCTGAGATATCTGAGGACTACTACTTACTATTGTAGTGTATTATTTGTAAGACGTTTGAGATATCTGAGGACTACTACTTACTATTGTATTGTATTATTTGTAAGATGTCTGAGATATCTGAGGACTACTACTTACTATTGTAGTGTATTATTTGTAAGACGTTTGAGATATCTGAGAAATGGATCAATAATTTGAAGGAATGAAAAAATGCGTCCCTCAGACTTACGGAAATGTAACATTCAATTCGAAAATTTCCTAGGTACACGTTCATAAAAAGTGACCAATTATCGCTCATAAGCCTTCCCCTTAGGGTGCAATAAACTCCATCGGATCGGTATATCCGCGCCAGATTCGGTTAAATACGAGTTATGGCACTTGAAACCTTTAAAAAAGTAGCCCACTACGGCACGAAAGATATGTCTCCCCTGAGACGGGGGGGCGTGAATTATCGGCGTCCACCTATCGACCCTCTGCTGCGTTGGTTGGATCCTTTCTATCAGATTTTTACGCGTTACTTGTGTTGTTTGTGCGCTCGAGACGAGATTTGGAATGACTGAGAATGAAAATTTCATTGAAATTTTGATGGAAATACTTGTGTGTTTTTTCTTGTATTCAGAGGTACGTCTTTGATTACTCGTTACGATATTAGTCTGGGAATTTTTTTTTCAGCCGAGACTTCCATTACTCTTTGTTGAATGTTTCTCCTGCTTATATTATATTGAACGAAAGTCAATTTTTTGGAAGTAAATGTGAGACTCACAATACAAGTCTGTCAACAACATTGACATATTTCACATATTAAAACTGCTTTCGACATAATAGATCTTTTTGTCTGTCCATAATATTTTGCATCGCAGTCCTCACATTCAATTTCGTGAATTCCATACTTTTCCGAATTCTCGACTTTGTCTTTTGGACTTCCCAAAAGGCTCTGCAGTGTATGACTTGTTCTAAAAACCATCTTCATACCTAGTTCCTTGAAAATCTTTCCAAAGTTCTTCGTATATTGGTGGTATGGATCTAAGATGTATTTATCTTGGTTTTTGTCCTTTCTGGTCTATAGACCAATCGACATTGTATGTCGATGGTAAAATATTCGACCATCTAAAAGGCACCCATGGACAGAAAAGCCAGTCACTTGGAAAACCAACTGTTATTCCAATCCATCACGAAAATATTTTGGCAGGTGGACTAAAGACTCTTGAAAAATTGGGATTTGGACTGTGTAGAATGGCAGTTTTGCTTGTGGTGCCTGAATATGTTACGAAAAACAATCTGAAGACGCCATTCAAAAATAATATTCCTGGCGCTGACTGGTTTTTAAATTTCAAGAAGAGGCATAATTTGTCAGTCAAAATCTAACAAACAAAGTCTTGAGGAAATATCAAGGCAAAAAAACAAAAAAAGGAAGCAAAAAGAAATCATCAGTGAAAGTAGCGACGAAGGCAACCCTGAACCGTTTTGCGAGGAATCGGACTATGACCCGGACCTCCCAAGTGATGGCAGCTTTGAAGAAAACACAGCCTCGCATTTTGAAAATTTTAAGCTACATGCTTGGGTGTTGGTCGAGTATTGTACGAAAAGAACAATTTTGGATAACGCTGAGCAAATCATACAACAACCTACAGATAACCACGAATGTCAAGTTAAGTTTTTAAGGTACAACACTGCAACTGAGAAGTTCTTTTGGCCTCCAGTAGACGACATCGACACCATTGTTTTTGAAAACATTGAAATGTTCTTGTCAAATCCCCTAAAAGACCGCCGTGGCAGTATGTTTTCATTTGAAGTGAATTTTGCAGGTCTTAATGTATGCTAAACAGAAGTTTGAGCATATTATAAGTCTAATACTATTAGCTTTTTATCTAATGACTTTCAGTAAGCGTACCTATTTTGAGTTTTTGATATGCTTCTTTATATCTTTCCATTTTGATAATAAAATGTCCGCTGGTAAATAGTTGTTTTGTCTACGCAGGGCAAGTTCGAATTTTCAAGGTATGAGGGCAGAAGATTTTTATGGCTTTATTTGAAAATTCTGACGGGAATTTAATATAGGAAAAGTTCGGATTCGAAAGCGCCGCTTTCTATTATATTCATTTTGAGTTTTTGATATGCTTCTTTATATCTTTCCATTTTGATAATAAAATTTCCGCTGGTAAATAGTTGTTTTGTCTACGCAGGGCAAGTTCGAATTTTCAAGGTATGAAGGCAGAAGATTTTTATGGCTTTATTTGAAAATTCTGACGGGAATTTAATATAGGAAAAGTTCGGATTCGAAAGCGCCGCTTTCTATTATATTCATATGGAGTTGTTTAAATGCATACGGTCTTGCCTCTCAACATGGGGTCCGAATCCAAAATATCATTAACTTTTAGGGTTCCTGTAAACTTCTATGGTGTTATAAACATATAGCGATACTTTAATTCCAAGGAGTATATATTGAAGAAGGATTTGCTAAAAAATCGTGCTCACTGTTCACTGTTGCTAGATACTAAGCTTCCTTAAAGTTGTACTCACTTGAAATGCGCGCGATCTTACCCAACTTACCTTAGTCCTATAACTTGTATTTACATTACTTCAGGAAACCAACCTTAGTGTAGTGGTGCTCTGTTAATTGCTTGAAACAACATATCCGAATGTGAGTTTCGAATATTCAGTTAGAAACGCTGCCCTATCACGTTCAGCGTATACTGTTGATAACTCAATTCTTGAAAGATGTTTGAGCGTCAACGATTTAGGGACCATATTTGCGATGGAAGTACTTAGATACTGTGCTAAAAACTAGTCGAGTTATACTGATCTAGTGGGTCTGAGAACATTGTACAATAACTATGTCACACACAGTGTGAAATAAATTTCTTATAAACGATTGTAGATGTATCAACATCATTCTTGTATTGAAACTCGAGTGACTATCAGGAAGTGCTTTATGATTCCTCCCATTTCGCTGTTCTCTTCCAAGATCATCTGTTTCCGAAAAGAGCGATCTGTACGAGAAAACTGATGACACACGCATCTCCCCACAGCATCCGATTCAAATCTCCGCACTCGGAGAAAATCTCGGCGTTTTATTTCCCCGCTATCTTCCAGTTCCGCATAACCGGGATGGTAATGAGACAGAAAAGATAAAATAATAATGTACTCCACTTACATCATGATACCAGGAGATCTTGTGTTGTTTGGGGTTGGCTTTGATGCTGCACTCGAAGTATACGTCATCTCCTTCTTTTATGTCTTCTGGATTTAACGTATTTCCCAGATGGAGGACCACTTGAGGAGGATCTGGAAGCATAATAAAAAAAATTATTTATATGCGGCTTGGTTTTACTTTCACCGGAGTTGAAGTAGGCAGGGAATTAGATTTTGTGAGGTAGAGTTTTTTTTCCGCGAATGTTTGATATACTTGAGAACACGGTCAAGTTGAAGACATTCGGAGATGTTTTGTGGGGGACAATCGATCAATTCATTGTTGAGAACTATCATTCATGGCTAGTTCAGTTATCTGTGAAGATTCCTCAAAGGATACATAGAAAAACTTCGGATTAGGGGCCGGAACAAATCTATCAGAGAGCTAATCTGGCCACCTGTGCCACCTGGATCACACTATCAGTGTGGAAATTCTTCTAGATATTCCTCCCTCCCATATCCTTCTGAAAAAAAAAGGCTACGTGGACCACATATATTATTGCACAAAATAAGCTTTTGTGAAGCATAGCAGAATTCAGATTATCATTGACATTCTGTGATAGACTTTCGATCTAATACACATCTTCAAGAAGTTCCAAAACCGAGTGGAGACGACATAATCAACTAGGAAGAGGAGTGGAAAGTCATCTTCGAGTCGTTCAGGCTTGGAGTCCAGCTCCCTTACCCTTTTGGCTGATTATTGGTCACGAGAAGGACCAATGGGTACATGACTGATGGTATGGCGGCATGAAGTCCTCAGACATCAGTTACGCCCTTCACGGGATACCTCTACCTGGCTGGGGTGGGATGGATGAGAAAGCTATTCATCCGTTAACGGGGGACCTAAGGGCCTCATTCTACAGTGTCGGGGCCTTCTATATCGGGAGGGGTCATCTACAGCGTAATCTGTGGCTTCCCTAACTAACGGGAACTAGGAAGAGGAAACACTAAAAGCATCTGAAATACCTCCAAGTTTTGAACAAATGCCATTTATTTTGGACGAAATCAGAGCTTTCTTTCTGATCTCTATCGGAATTTTATATCTACGTCACAGTTTTAATTATTCCAGATTGTCGGAAATGACAGATCTCAGAAAGATCCATGAAAAATCTTCAAGTTCTGGTGACCGTAACCTAGCAGATTCAGATATATCAACTCACCTAAGGTCCTATGAGATTGGTGGATACCAATCTCTTACATAAATAAATAAAAATTTTCTCAGATAGCCAAGCGACTCATTGTCAAAACAGGCTTTCCCCAATAGAAAAATATAACAGATTGTTTCTGGTCTGAATTTCTTGGAGAGAAGGTGCGCATCGGACCAGAACTGTCATTGATATTGTTTTAGGTTTTTGACAAACGAACACTGAAGAGTTCTGAGCTGCTGACAAAACCTATCAGAACTGGCATTGATATACCCTTTAGAGTAAGCCACCAAATGATTATTGCAAGAATATGGCGGAAAAGAACGACGTTGCCGCAGTTCTCAAGATGGAAGAGTTCTCAAACAGTAAAGTTCGAGGTGTACTGAGTTGAACTTCAAAACGATGAGCAGCCAGAGTACCGCTCTTGGTGGAATCAAATGTGCCAAGTCACTTGAACACCTCCCGTGAAAGTATCTATAGTATAGAGACAAATCTTCAACATTTTTTTGACGTTCCAGGATATCAAGGTTGCACGTGATGTTCGCGTCTCCAATCAGGCGGATGGCTCTTTCCTGGATGGAATCCAGCAACTCCAGGATATGTTTGGGGGCAGAGCTCTATACATGAGAACAATACTCCAAAGAAGTTCCGTTCTGAGCTTTATATATCATCAAAAGTTGCTGAGGTGTGTATCATTTTCTGGTGCGAAACAGTGTTCCAAGCTTTTGAGAAGCAACCTTCACAATTCTAGCGACATGATTGTGCCAAAACATGTTGGTGTCCATTTTGACCCTCAACAAACGAATCGAAGCAGAAAGCGGAATTGTCTGACCTAACATTATTATATCCAGTTTGGACACATATATCTTCTTGGAGAAAACCGATTCCTGGGTTTTTGTGGCATTGAATCGAACCTGGATACTTTCACCCCAATTCGAAATCACTTCTAGATCCTCATTAAGATATGCAACCTCCTGATTCCAGTCAAGATGTGCCTCCATGCCTGATGTCCTGGAATCCAAATGGAATGACGAGACAAGTGTGGTGTTGTCAGCAAAGCAATATATTGGACTCTCGTTTTTTCCAATAAGTCGTTGATATACAATAAAAACAGGGTTGGAGACAATATGGATCCCTGGGGAACACTAGCGTTGATGGTGAAATTATTCGAGAGATATCCATCAAAGGCCATTTGCAGGGAATGTTCTTTCAGGAAGCTGAAGAGCCATACATAGAAATGCTTCGACAAGCCATAGCATCGAAGTTTGGTCAGCAAGTCCTCATGCCACACACGGTCAAATGCCTTAGGAATATCAAGCGCAACATCTCTTCCCGTTAGTTAGGGAATCCACAGATTATGCTGTAGACGACCCCTCCCGATATAGAAGGCCCCGACACTCTGTCGGATGAGGCCCTCATGTCCCCCGTTAACGGATAAACAACTTTCTCATCCATCCCACCCCAGCCAGGTAGGGGTATCCCGTGAAGGGCGGCACTGATGTCTGAGGACTTCATGCCGCCATACCATCAGTCATGAACCCATTGGTCCTTCTCGAGACCAATAATCACCCAAAAGAGTAGGGGAGCTGGACTCCAAGCCTGAATAACAGGAAGATGACCTTCCACCGCAACATTTCTTGTCACTATCCTTGTTTGGAATATGATGATTACCAAGGTATATACTCTGTACACTGTCCTAGTGTGGACTGAATCAGGTTTTCAATATTTCCTCTCGCTATCTGTCCTGAACTGATCGGTTTCGTTTGGAAGCTACATTTATTTGGTCCAGTTTGAGATATAGAGGGAGCCACAATGGAAATCCTAGTGAGTTGAAGGTAGACCATCGAGTCGGTTTTGTGGGGTGGGTTTTTTAAGACCCCAATGTTTTGGTTCACTTGAAAACACGGCCAAGTTGAAACCATCTGGGGCTGTTTTATCTGCGTTCGACAAGGTTCAATACGGCATCAAACTACATGCCCTGGTTACAAAAAATGTCGATGAGAGTTTGGAATAAATTGTTTCAGGAAGAATACTTTCATAGTTTTAGAATAGAAAAATTGAACCTGTAACTGCCTTTCAAACCTAATGTATACTTTGACCAGTGCCGACCAGTCCGAAAGAGAACAAGGAGACCAGGATATAGTAAATGAGGTGTGCAGACAAAATACACATTAGTCAAACATAACTCGATCCAGAAATTAGTTACACTTATTCGGTTTCATAGACCACAGTAATCTATGCACCAGACAACGACCACATAAATTGTATCATTATTTATGTGGTCTTCGATCGATATGTTCAAAAACTATATCCTAATAAAAATTAAAGCTCAGTTGTAGTACCGGGGGTGCAACTGAGTTGCCTTATATTATGAAAATATATATCTACTTAATCCTAGTACACAGTTCAAGTGGTAGAGTGAAACCTAGAATGAAGATACTCTAGTTATACGGTCAGCAGGGCCCAATTACTAATGGACCTACTGGTCGTTTTCCTAAAGTACCTTCTAGCTTACTCTATCACTTGTTTGGATGTTGGCGGATTTTTGAATCTCTCCTTGCAAAGGATTCTGCCTGTCCATTAGTGATTGGGCCCTGCTGACCGTATTACTAGAGTATCTTCATTCTAGGTTTCACTCTGCCACTTGAACTGTTTACTAGGATTAAGTAGAATGCCTGGGCTGGTAGATATCTAGAGAAAAAATGACTGTTGATTTATAGTTGGAAACTTCTGAAAACCTCAGATGAATTCGGAAATCAAATTGTTGTCCAACAATAGCATGCCTCAAATTTTTTTTTGACTCATAAGGGATTTGGTTGATCAGTCACATCCAGGCATTTGAATTGTCAGGCCGGTTTGTTGGAGCATTACCCCAGAAACATCCTAAAATGTTAAAAATGGGTTCGAAAATAGACTGCTTCCCTGTCTCACTGTCAGAAGGTTTGAGAAGGATATTCTGAACATTCGCTCGAAATATTTTTTATGTATGAGATGAATAATACCAAGGTTTGAATGAAATGCTATCGTTTCACCCCCTTGAAAGGACCTATCTTTTGCAAAAGATGTTACTGATTTACTTATTTTTCCACTGAACATTTATTTGGTGGAGGGTTACGAAATTCTTAGTTCCAAAGTAAAACATCAATAACTCCGCAACCAGCTATCGAAATTTGAGAAAGGTGGAGGCCATTGTACAGAGAATTTGAATATTTTTATATGAAATGTCACAAGACCCCCGTTCCCACTGTAATATCTTGCTCCGTTGGAAAGTTCAATTACTTTTCACGTTTGCACTGTATTATTTGTAAGACGTCAGAGATATCTGATGACTACTACTTACTATTCGACTGTATTATTTATAAGACATCTGAGAACTGAGGATTACTATGTACTATTGTACCATGTTCAATTTACGTTCAGACTGTATTATTTGTGAGAAGTCTGAGACATCTGAGGACTACTACTTGCTATTGTACTTTATTATTTGTAAGACGTCTGAGATATCTGAGGACTACTACTTACTATTGTATTGTATTATTTGTAAAATGTCTGAGATATCTGAGGACCACTATGTACTATTGTACTATGTATCATTTGTAGGATGTCTGAGATATCTGAGGACTACTATGTACTATTGCACCATGTACTATCGTTCGCACTGTATTATTTGTGAGACATCTGAGATATCTGAGGACCACTATGCACTATTGTACTATGTATTATTTGTAAGATGTCAAAGATATCTGAGGACTACTATGTACTATTGTACCATGTACTATCGTTTGCACTGTAAGACGTCTGAGATATCTGGGGGCTACTATGTACTATTATAACATGAAATATTCACGTTGGCACTGTATTATTCATAAGACGTCTGAGATATCTGATGACCACTATGTACTATTGTACCATGTAATATTTACGTTCAAACTGTATCATTTGTAAGATGTC